TCTTCGGTTCTGCTGTCCACCCAGACGTCCCCAAACCCAGGGCGCAAAGGTGGGTGGGGGTGGGCATGGGAAGTGAAACTGCGGGGAGAGGACGGAGGATGGCAAGCTGGAGGAAATCTCTGCCCGGTGACCTCTCGGCGGGCTGGGTGCGGGGCACTGGAGGAAAGGGAAACCGCAGTGCCGCGGGCGGGGACTGGGTGGAAGGCGGCAGACGGGGGAGGGGAGAACTGGAAAAGGATGAGAGAGGGGGAAGGGGAGCCTCAAATGGGAAAGGAGAGGTTTGGAATACGGAAATGGAATAAGGGTGGGGCCAGTCGAGCGGGGGCTGGAGAGGGACGAAGAGCAGAGCCACTCTGGGTCTGGGCCGCAGGGACACAGGAGAAATGTATATACAGGCTGCGCCTCCCCGACCGCTCTCTACCCCTCCAGCCCCTGCCCCGTTTCCTCCCTTTCTTGCTATGTCCGCTGTTTCCCCTTCCCCTTCCAGATCCCAAGCCCTCGCACCTCCTCCATAACCCAGGGTCCTCGAATCAAAGCCAGGTGCCAATCCCCTTTCCTCCGCAACAGCGCCTCCGGATCCGGCTCGGAGCAGCAGCTCCGCCCGGAGCCTGAGAGGGCATGGATTGTAGCAGAACCACCACGGGACGCTAGCCTCACCGCCGAAGGGTGGAGCACCAGGGGCTCTGAACTCGGCGAGGGGCGCACCCGGGCGCACGCAACCAAGGCAGAGGCCCGCGCGCACTCGCGGGGGCACGTCCCTCCTGTGGCCTCTCCAGGGCAAGCGTTGCTGCGGACGGGCTAGGCTACCTGCTCCGTCTCGCCTCGCTAGAATATTGGTCCAGCCTAGGCTGCAAAAAGACAAGGCAGAGAGCCAAGGCAGGGAGGCTATTGAAAGCGCACTGGAAAACTGCAGCCCCAGGAACCCCAGAGAGCTGGGAATCTGGAAGCATCCTTGGTTCATATGCAATCAGAGAGCACTGTCGCTTTCCCTCACATACATCTGGGAACACTTTAGCTGTGTGCCAAGTACATGCCTACCTGAAAGCACCTCAGCCATCATCCCTAGCCATTAACATCTGTGAATCACTTACTATGGAAAAATCACATTACCAGATGTGTATGGTTTTTCTTAATCCCCATCACAACCCTGTGGATTCATTCATTCATTCATTCAATTTTTTACTTTTTTTTTAAATTTTTTATTTTATTTTATTTTTTTTTGAGGAACCGTCTGGGCATTGAGGGTTTTCTCCTGAACAAGAAATAGAAATGTCCGAATGGGGAGTTTTTAATAGGTATAGAGTTTTAGTTTCGAAAGAGAAAGAGTTCTGGAGATTGGTTGCAGAGCAATGTGAATGTACTTAGCACCACCGAATGTACTGAATTTAAGTACTGAATGTAATTAAGTGGTTAAGATAGTAAACGTTATGTGTATTTTATCACAATTAAAAAAAAAATTAAATAGGAAGCACCTGCCTGCATAGGTCTTACATTCCTGAAGAGGAGTGGTAATAATAAAGTCACTTAAAGTGACCCAGCTAGTAAGTGCTCAGTGGCCAAGCACAGACATGCACCATTACAGGGTGTGTTCTCCCTCTTCCCCTCAGAGGGAAAAGAGCCAGTGGCATTGTCAAATTCAATGAGAAGTGGGTAGGGGAGGGAGATGGAGACAGGGTCTGAGATGCCCACCATGGCCATTATGGCACGTTCCCCNGCTCAGTGGCCAAGCACAGACATGCACCATTACAGGGTGTGTTCTCCCTCTTCCCCTCAGACGGAAAAGAGCCAGTGGCATTGTCAAATTCAATGAGAAATGGGGAGGGGAGGGAGATGGAGACAGGGTCTGAGATGCCCACCATGGCCATTATGGCACGTTCCCCAGGGCCCCCAGCCCTGGAAGTAAGTGTGGGCACACCTGTCCCATCTCTGGGTTGATTCCCATCCCGTTCCCACCCCAGATCCAGGACTGAGCTCTCAGCACCATGAACCTGGCCATCAGCATCGCTCTCCTGCTGACAGGTACTGGGCAAGAGGTCGGGCTGGGATTGCAGGCACCCTGGCTTCCTTCCTTTTAGAGAAGCTAGCTTCTTCCTCACAGCCTCAGGAATCAGAGATAACTGAGGGAGAGAGGGCTCTTTTTCATCCAGAAGTGTGCTAATCCACCTAGCTAATCTGATAGACCGAGGTGGTTTTTGGAAGCACAATTTGCTGAGCCCTGCCCCTTACTATTGAATTAAGAATCTCCAAATGGGAACCAGGAACCTGCATGAACTCCCTTGAAGATCTCCTGCCCTTGAAACACACTGATGGGACCCAGGGCTCAAGCAGACTAGGGATGGAGGCTGGGGTCTGCAGGGGGGAGGTTGGGCTGGCCCTCTGGGACTCCTGGGGTGGGGAGAGGCACTCAGAGAGCAGACCTCTGTGCCCTCCGTAGCAGACCCATCACTACTCTTAATGTGGGTGGAAGGCCCCCTGCTCTGTAGGCCCCTCCCAATTCGGAGGGGGCACTGCTGGTGCCAGTCTTGCAGGTATCCCAAGGGCAGATGGTGACTAGCCTGACAGCCTGCCTGGAGAACCAGAGCCTTCGTCTGGACTGCCGCCATGAGAATACCACCTCCTTGCCCATCCAGTACGAGTTCAGTCTGACCCGTGAGAAAAAGAAGCACGTGNTACCACCTCCTTGCCCATCCAGTACGAGTTCAGTCTGACCCGTGAGAAAAAGAAGCACGTGTTATATGGCAATGTGGGGGTGCCTGAGCACACATACCGCTCCCGAACCAACTTCACCAGCAAGTACAACATTAAGGTCCTCTACTTATCTGCCTTCACCTCCAAGGACGAAGGGACCTACGCATGCGAACTCCACTCCTCTGGCCCGTCACCCAAGGTCTACTCCCAGAACGTCTCTGTGCTCAGAGGTGAGGCAAGCCCCCAGTAAGGCCAAGCAAGCCGGGAGAGCCAGACTGGGGAGGACTGGGCTGGCTAGGACAGCATGCAGCTCCCTCGGCAGGGCCAGAGAGGAGAGTGGCCCTATGACCCCCTCACCCTCTCCCACTGCCATGTGGATGGGGGGAAGAGCTGAGGGCCAGACAGGCAGAGTGGTGTAGCAGATGCTCCACCATGACTGTGGGCAAGCCATTGGCCTCCCAGTCCTTCTCCCCACCTGGCAAACAGGATGACACTACCTCCTCACCCATAATTTTCTCATGATATTGTTTAGTAAGGTTTTCATAGGATGATGTGTGTTCAAGGGCTCAGTAATCTGCAAATGGGAAAGATGGGTTGGCTTTATTAGACCAGATTGGCCTTCATTCCCACTAAGACATCACGGCGCAGCCTCCTGAGGGGACTACTCCATTGCTTTGGGCCTGTGCCTGCCCAAGTCATTCATTCCTGCCCTGCCCCCCACCCCCATTCTCTCTCCACAGACAAACTGGTCAGGTGTGAAGGTATTTGCCTGCTGGCTCAGAACACCTCATGGCTGCTGCTGCTCCTGCTCTCTCTATCCCTCCTCCAGGCCACGGATTTCATTTCCCTCTGACTGGTTGGGCCCATGGAAGATACAGGAAGCCGCAAGGCCCAGTGCAGAGACCCTACTTTCCTGAGTCAGCTGACCCCCTCCCCCCAATCCCTCACACACCTCGGGGAGAAATGGGGACCCCACCCCTTATAAGGAACCCCAGTGTTGCATGCCACTATCTGCCCATGCCCACTGCCACTTCACCCTGTCCGCACGCCACTGGCTGTCTTTTTGTATTCTTTGTTCCAGAGCTGCTTCTGTCTGGTTTATTTAGGGTTTATCCTTCCTTTTCTTTGGGAGTTTGTGACAAGGGAAGCCAGGGTTGGGGACCTAAAGGAGAGTAAGGGCATGTGAGGGGTAGTGAGATGGGGGGGTACCCTCCCCGGGGGGGTCATCTTGCCTACTGGAACCAGAGGCCCAGGAGAGACCTGGAGGAAGAAGGGGTGGGGTGTGTTGGGGCCTAGCACAGACACTGTCTGTACTGACACCGTTTCTCAGCAGTCAGGGATGGTGCCTGAAGACCCCAGAGGTGAGGGCACTGCCAAGCACTTGTGGCCCATCATGTGAGAGAGAGGGCTGAGTGTCCCCAGGAGCATTCTCAGCCACAGCAAAAAAGCCCTCCTCTTACCACACTGCAGAAGTTCCCTGGGGACCTTAAGCCAGGGATGTGACCCCGTGAAGATGTAGATTGGGCCAGATAAACTGTGCTCGTGGAGAAGGGGGTACAAGGTGAGGGTCCATCATCCTTCCCTTCCTATAGAAGCTAAAAACATGAGCCTGCTGTCCCTCACTGCCTTGACCAGCAGTTGAGAGAGTGGCGGGGGGGACAAGCCTCCTCCCGGGCTGTCCCAAGCTCCCAAGAGCTTCCAGAACTTAACCTGGAGCCACTAAATCAGGCATGTCCCAGAGCTGCACAGAGTTTGGCCCAACTTTCTAAGGGAGGCTCTTCCCTCCCTCGCTCATTAGTGCCAGCCCCTGCTGGCTGGTGCTTGAGCCCCTCAGACAGCCCCCTGCCCCGCAGGCCTGCCTTCTCAGGGACCTCTGGGAGGCCTGAGGCAGGCTGTGGGAGACCCAGGAGTGGGACAGTCCTGGGGAGATGGCTTTTCCCAACACCCAGCTCCCCGCCAGCGGCTCTGCCTGTCCGTGACCGTGTGTAGTGCCTCCACAGCTTCTGGCATCTCATTGAGGAAAAAGAAAACTGCACAATAAAACCAAGCCTCTGGAATCTGTCCTCGTGTCCATCTCTGCTTTGCTGCTCCAGCAGTCCCAGGCCTGCCTCCCCCACTCAGCCAGACATCTCCAAGGGCAGGAGGTCCAACATGCAGCGGGACACACCTTCCCCTTCCCTGTTTTCCCCCCTCCTACTTTTAGCAACCCCATCCCCAGGGGCATTCCACTGCATGCTGGGCTTCTTTTGAGAATAACTCTAACATGACACATGTGCCCAAATAAATGGGTGTTCCTTCTCTGCTGACTCACCTGGCTGGAACAACAGACTCACCTGCCAACATGGGGGCCGAGCCACATGGCCCAGCTCTGGAATATGCGGTGGCTTTGCATGAGCAGGTGCTGAGGTGTGGAGCCCGCTTTTTCTTCTCAGCCCTGGCTGTTCCTCAGAAATGCCTCCTCAAGTCACATCTACTACTGACAGGGTGAGCACTGGAGCACAGGGGAGGGTCAGCGGGAGATGTCCATGTCGTCAAGGTGGAAGAGGTGGTATTGGTTCTTAAATCCAAAAGCAATGACCAAAGAAAGGACTGGGGTCGAGTACTTTCCCCTCAGGAGTGGGGCGGGAGCACTGAGCCCCATGCCTCGCTCCTCCCCTCACAGTGATGCATGAAATGCGACTGAGCATCGGGGCATCCTGGGGTTGGGGACTGGAACAGGACCACTGGGTAGTCACGGGTTCCAGTTGCTGTAAGAGCTAGTGAGGCAGCTCTGAGCCAGCCTTCCCTGCTTTGCCAGGGAATTTGGGGGAGGAGGGTGGCGACTGCCCAGAGGCTGACTCATTTGGTATTTAGCACTGGGTAGGTGATTCTTTCTGAGCATTTTTCTTCAATACCCCAGATCTAAATTTATGCCGCTGGCTCCCACTCTTCCTCCTACCTCCCATCGATGCCTCTGCCTTGACAGTGGCCCTCTGGTGACCATGCCCAAAGAGGACAGGAGAAGCCCGCAAGGAGGAGAAGCTGCCCGTGTCACAGACCATGAGGCTGTGCCGTTCAGCACAGGGCAGCTGCCTGGAGCTCTCCAGGAGGAGGGACCCCCTTGAGACACAGGCGCCTTCTTACTCAGCCCTGCTTGGAGCTGCAAGTGCCACGCCAAGGGGTCTTTGTAGAAGAGCTTTTGTGGGGGAAGGAAGCTCAAATGCCAGAGAAGTGTGGGAGCCCACCCTTGGGGTAGGAAGAGTTAGAACTTGAAGGTCCTTCTGAACGGAACTGGGAGGCCAGGTGTGAAGCCCCAACTGAGAGGACAGCGTGAGACCTCCCTCACTCCCCTCCTGTGTGATGCCTCCTGAGTAGTCTTTGTCACACCCGGCACTGTTTCTCTGAAGGGCTTAGCAGCCAAGCTCTTAGAAGGGTGCTGGGGAGATGGTACTGCCCTCTGCATCCACGCTTAGGGAGCAGAACCTGGAGTGGGCAGGGTTAGCTTAGGAAACCATAGAGACCATCAGAGGACCACGGACTTCAGGAAGGCGGGAAGGGAGAAGAGGGGAACAGATCAGTAAAAGGCGAGGAATTGATTCCAGTGTAGTGATCAGTGCTATGAGGCAGGGAAGCTGTGGCAGACACCACTGGGGGGTCCCAACATGCATTCGCCTCTTTTCTTTTTTCTTTCTTTCTTTTTTTTTTTTTTTGCCACTGCCCTGTATGGGGATCCGAACCCTCGACCTTTGTGTTATAACACCATTCTTTAACAAACTGAGCTGACCGGCCAGCCCACATTCTCTTCCTTTCTCAGCAATGGAACCCACAAAGTACAAATGAAATATGTGACCCAGAAAAAAGACATTTTCCAGCTCCCTTGCAGTGAGACAGGACTAAGTGATTTAAATTCTGCCCAATGAGATATAAGCATGAAATAATATGTGTAATTTCTTTGAAGTGCTCTAAAAGAGAAAGCGTGCCTTTATCCCCCTTCTACCTTATGCTGGCTGGGATGTAGAGTTGATGGCTGGAACTGTAGCAGCCCTTTTGGACTATGAGATGGCAGCTGTGTGTTACAAATGACAAAGCACGGGATAGGAGCTGGGCCATTGGTGAAGGTGGAGCTGCCATAGCAGTCATGGACCACTTCGTTAAAGTTATTGTTATCTGGAAGTTTCCTGCACTCACAGCTAAAGCTAAAACCACCTTATAAAGAAGCCACAACCACAACTTAACACTACTGAACTGTACACTTAAAAATGGCTACAATATAGAGGACAGCCTTGTAACACCAAGGTCACAGGTTCAGATCCCCATACCAGTCAGCCACCGAAAAAAAAAGGTTAAAATAGTAAATTTTATCATATGAATTTTTTAACACAATAAAAAAAAAAAAAAAAGGCAAAAGTCAAATCCATAGAGACAGAGAATAGAATGGTGGTTGCCCAGGGGCTGGGGGAAAGAAAGAATGGGGAATTAACATCTAATGGGTACAGAGTTTTAGTCTGGCAAGATGAAAACAGTTCTGTGGATGGAGGGTGGTGATGGCTGCACAGCAATGTGAATGTACTTAATGCCACTGAACTGTACACTTAAAGACGGTGGAGGTGATAAATTGTATGTTACATATATTTTACCACAATTTAAAAAAAGAAGCAGCAGCAGAAGCAGCCAAGGCACAAGGAAACTTTTGGGGATAGTTAGTACATGTGTGCATATATCTGTCAAAACTCATTAAACAATGTGCTTTAAAAAGGTGAATTTAATTGACTGTAAACTACACCTCAATAAAGTGCTAATACACATGTAGTGCCGTTGGCCAGGCTAAAAGGTTTCCCAGAGGAAGAGCCTGCAAAAAGAGTAGGCTCTACTATTTCGTAAGTTAATTACAAAGCAAGAAATTTTATTTTATTTCTTCTATATCCTGCCAAACTTGGAAAAAGGGAGAGGAAACCATCGTGGGTTCAGTATGAGGACAGGCCTTAGTCCCTCTCTAGGTTAACTCACTCACACAGGTCCATCATCAGAATCCCTGATCCAGCCAAAACTCACTTAAACATTTATTAAGCTTTATTAAACATTTATTTATTAAACATTTATGCCAGGCCCTGGACAGGGTAATGAGAATAGAAAGTGGATAGCACAGACAAGTTCTTGCCCCCATAAAACTTACATTCTAGTATAGGAAATGGACATGAAGCAACTAAGCCAATAAATAAATCAGATCATTATAAATTGGAATTTGGGGGACTCAGAAAGCAATACCCAAAAGTGAAGTCCTCAGAAGCAGCTTCAAAAACAAAGTTTCTCTCTGACCTTCTCCTGCCCTCCTGTCTCTCAGCCTCATTCTCCCTGAGGCAACCATAGAAGCTAGAATCACTCTTCCCCAAGGACAGTCATAGAAACCAGGATCTCTTTTCCCCAGTCAGCTGTAAAGACTAAAATTATACTCTAATCTTCCTCCCACCCTTCTGTCTTGGAGCTGGCCATAAAGAAATTCTCTGAACTATATTGTCTGATTGTAAATCATAAGATCCCCATTCCAGAAAGGGTCCTGCCTCATACCTGTGAGAATTGAATACTGCACAGAGAGCCCAAGAAGAGGCTGAACAGACAGGCCTTGCTGGGTTTCCCCTCTCAGGCTGTTAGCATAAGATCATATTTTCTTGTCTGGTCACATTTCTATACAGCTGTCCCTGCTTCGTAGAACCCAAGCATAAAAATGGACAGTTTTCCATATACCCTTGGGTCTTCATTCTGAAGGCTCCTGTGTCACATAAAACTATGATCAAATAAATTTGTTTGTCAGCTGATTTTTCAGTGAACCTTCAAGGGGTTGAAGGGGAAGTCTCACTTGGCCCCTACAGGATCCTTTCCATGTAGAAGGCCATAAAGAATAATAAGAATGATCTTTATAAGAATGATCAGGGAGAGCCCACGGTGGCCTTTCAGCTGAGACTTGAAAAAAAAAAAAAAAAGCCAGCCATTTGAAGAGCTGCAGGAAGCACCACTAGGGACAGACAACAGGGGCACACTCAGGTGTCCAGACAAGGAGTGGTCTGAGCTGCTATTGAAGAGGTAAGTGAGGGTCAGATCCCATGGGGGCCCTGGAGGTTCTTATG